TGATTATTTTTCGAAGATAATACTTTAGCACAATGTTAGCACAACTTAGCACAACCTAGCACAATAAAAAAAATTTCGAAAATCAAAAAGTGGGGGGCTACCAAAAAAAACGGTTTTTTCCATTTTTCTCGCTCATTTTTCGTATTAAAAATTTATAATTCGAGCACAATGTAGCACAAACCTAGCACAAATCAGCACAACTGTCAAAATTAATAAATTCGAAAAGTGGGGGGCTAACTTCATACAGGCCGAGTACCATTGTAATCTTAATTAAGAGTGATAATTGCTGCAGCTTGGACGCGCGGACGCACGTGGAAACCCGAACGAGAATGGAGCCGCTTATCTTACGATAAGAACACCGCCAGTGGCCGATATTCATAGTTAGGTCTTATATTTAAGACTGTCTTGAGGGGATGCTGAAAATTTTATTGAAATTTTCCTGCAAAGTTTATGCCATATTGATTGTACAAAATCACAAATGTTTTTGCGCAATGAAAGTACGTGCAGAAATAAATAGGAGCATTGCTCAATATATGACGAGAAAAAAAATTTTTTAATGTAAAATCTCAAGCTGTCAGTTAATTTAATATTTGCCTAATCTAAAAGTTTCGCAGCTTATACATACCGAAAGTGTGAATATTCCAAACGGAAAAACATCGCTAATATCCGAAAAATTTGCAGAAAGATTTCTACATATGCGTGGTTAGGTTTTCCACTGAATATGGTAAAACAAAGCAATACACATTTACGTAAAGAATAGTGTGATTGTGCTAGAGACTATCGTCTCTGCGTTATCTCATTGTTCGAGTTCGTCATTATTTTCAACATCTTCTTAAGTTCATTTTGATAACGTTAGAAGCGAGGAAAATCGTGCCCAAAATTGCTGCGAACCACGGTTAAATAAAAAGATATATCGTTAAAATAACATTTGAAATCTGTTCTACATATCTGCGAAATGCTGCAGATACTCCTCTTTTGCCGAAATAACTTACTGGATAACCGGAAAATAAATGTGACAGATCGTTTCGTTTAACCGAAAATCAGCTATGTGACTCGAATATAATCAAATAACTACTTAAACACATTAAATATCACAATAAGTACATCCGGAGCATTTCACACTTGCACAATTCTACCATGTGATACACATGTACTTAATAATATCGCTCTGGTTTGCAAAAAGAATTGGTTGTCTTCATCATTAGGTTTATTCGTTTTCGATAAACTTTGGTTTCATCATTAGGTTTATTCGTTTTCGATAAACTTTTGCATTAGTACAATAAGTTGGAGTCAGACAAGTATACTTTTTTTACTCTAACTCTCTCTTTCTCTTAATGTAATAGTCTACAGTGCAAAAGTTCTCCAGAAACTTTTTATCCTATTACCTTTTATCTATTTTCTCTCGTCTAATATTTGATCATTTTGTTACCGTTTACCAATCATGCCGCCACCATCAACGCGGAGTTCTCGGCTGACCGATCAGGAGCCTTAAAACGGTCTCAAATATAAAGCCCGTCTACGAGTACAGGCCTATGACTTCCCGATTTTCTCGTCGAACTCGCGCCTCACGTATCGATTAACGAACACACGGAGGTGTTGCAGCACGAGAGACGGGCGTTCGATCTGTTCGCTGCGTCGGCGTCGGGAGGATTAACGGGCGTTTCATAGTCGATCGCTTGCGGCAAGTCCGCCGTAGCGAAGAATCTCGGTCACGTTGAGCATATTTTTGGCGCGATCCCATCGTTTTCGCGCGGCGGAATGGCCGCCCTAAAAGCCCGGTCATTCCCGTTCACGTATCGACTTTTGAGTCGCTCGTTATCTGCCTTGTTAACGACGATAGCGACGGTGACGTTTCATTGTACTATCTAATCTCACTTTCGACTAATATCCAACGAGAGACACGAAGTCCCTCGTGAATTACGATCGTTATTGTTCGTCAAAATTATACGTGAATTGTGTTGCGATGTGTGACGCGTCGGATCTCCCTGACCGCACGATGTGTGAATCGGCAGGTAACCGGGATCACCCAGCGATGTCGAAGAAGGCCAACTGCAAGATGTTGGTTCACCAGTTGTCGTCCGTGTTGCCGGACGACAGGCCAATAACTGCCATCAGCGTCGTCGAAGACATCGACAAGTGTCCGCCGAACTTCGCAGTGGTATGAGCCAGTTGTATTTGCACGAGCGACTCCGCCGAAGACGATGCTATAAGGATATTTATGATACAAATAAGGGTAATGATATACTGATGATGACAATCGCGTTTCGTCTCAGGTGTCGAGAACGTACGACCAGGACACCGACGCGGATCTGTGGAGAGAAAGCGGACTGTTCATAAAGAAGAAGGGCAGATACATCTGCTTCTCCAAGACTGAGGGTCAGCCCGACTGCGTGATCGAGGATATCGTGGTGATCAACGAGCGCGATACCCCGCCAGAAGGCTACTGCATGATCTCGTACACCGTGGATTCGAGTAAGCTTTCACGGTTGATCTTGTCGCCTGTCCATTATTCCGTCGAGTCTCGTGTCGTGGATAATTAACGGCCACGTGAATTTTTCTAAGGAGCTTTGCACGGTCCTTGTAAATAAGACTTAATCAGCTGGCAAGTGAAAAGAAGAAGCTGAGAATCTCAGAACGGCTCGGGCAATCGGAGACCCTCTCGTGTGTGTGTGTGTGTGTGAGCTGAGTCTCTTGAATTCCAGGATCGATTCTCATTACCCGTTTAGACAGTAACAAACAGGAGTCCGTTAATCCCCCGTAATCAAAACATTCTTCAGTGTTTTTGGGTTATGTTCCAAATTATGTTCTTTTTGAGGAAAATTTTACTCAATATTTACAGTTCATGTTACATATACTATAGAATAAAATTTCTTTAGGAAGAACAACATTTTGGAATGCAACTTTGGGTTGGAATGATTGAGATATATGACGAAACGACGGATATTGCGAATATAAGAAACAACCTTGAGGTGTTTTCGTCGCGACCATCTTGATTTATCACATTAGAAGAGCGAGAAAGTACATGCTAAAAATTCTTGCGAAATACATAGGAATAAAAAGATGTATCCGTAAAATGATACTCGCAATCAACCGAGCAGATGTGTAAAATAATCCGAACGCTTTTCCTTTGTTCTAACAATGAATAAATAATCGTAAAATTAATGTGACAAAATTAAAGTAAATCATGAAGGTAAGTTAAAAAGGTAGATTGCGCGTCACCTTACTTTTACGGTAATTTATTGATTGTTAGAGCAGGAGGGAAGAGTTCGGACTATTTTATAGATGTGCTCGATCGATTATGAGTGTCATTTTATGAATAAGTTGTTTCATTTCAATGTATTTTGCAAGAATTTTTATTGTATATTTTCTTGCCTCTGACGTCTTCAATCGAGAGTTCCGCGGCAAGAAAACCAGTGCTGGGATTCTGTAACTCGTTATTGGAGTTAACGAGTTACAGAATCCCAGCACAGAAGTCTTACAGATCATGACGAATTTTGCAGGGCAGAAGGCGTGGCGGAAGAAACAGGTGTGCTATAAACTTAGGAGTAAGGATCTGTGCGAAAAAGCGGTCACGGATATCATAATATGCAGCAGGATAATTCACAAGGACTCCAAGATTGCTCCTATTGGATTTTCTGCTGCTGGGTAAGTAATTTTATGGTGTCACCGATTTAATTCGACATTTTTGATATCCTTTATATTTCATCGATGTCTTCCGCTTTCAGTGTCATCAACGGTGTTCGCGTGTGCTACAAGACGGTGGATATCACAAACTCGCAGTCGTATGTTAATATAGAGTACGTCATCTTTTCTTACGTCAAAGACATACGCTAATTTTACACTGAATCAGCTTTGCACGTTGCGACAGATGCAGATGAACGTTGACGAATATATCGTCCATGAAAGTCGGAACATTATTGGAATGATGTGAGGATTCTCGCTCAGAAAAGAAAGTTAAAAGGAGATTAAGAAATTTGCATAAGACGAATCGAAGAAATTGAGAAATTTGCACAAAATAAAGTCAGGAAATTTATGTACTCGTTAATTTTACACTCACGAACGTTGATGTGTGTCTGTCACGTATATTTATCGCCAGAGCCAGTTTTACGCATACAAACATTTGACTAGTGTTTCCGCTGTAGCTTACTACAAAGCGCTTCTCCGAATCCATCGAACGGGACGCCTCACAGAGCAGCTCCTGAGCGGCCGCCGAAACCAAAGTTCTCACCAAAACCGGCCAACGGGATTTATCCGCAAATCGGCGCGACGAAGGACGGTGACGAGTCGGGCGATCGGGATTACGAGATTCTCACTCCTAGCGCGAGAATCAGGCCCACCAGGCCCGCGCCCCAACCGCCCACGTCATCGACCGTGGGGTCGACGCCCATCTACGGCACGCTTCCGGGATCGTCCGATCTCGACGGAGTTCCGTTTGCGCTTAATTCACGTCTTATCGCTAATTCGGATCCCGTGAATGTGAGTATACCGTGTTTGTTCTTGCAGAGAAGTTCTCTCTAGTGACTGTGGGTGTAATTCATTAAACGGCGCAAACGCTTTGAAGCACTTTGAAGAGAAGTCACGATTGGTCTATATAGCGCTTCAAAGTATCCGCAGCGTCTAATGGATCGCACTTTGTGTCTAATGTCTAACATCCACTACTACTGTCTTTGACGACACTTATTTCTCTCTTAGCAGAATAAACTTCCCGTCATCAAGGTGTGGACGCAGAAAGATTTGGACAGAGAGGTAGGTTGTTACTTCTCTCGCAAACGCGTCCTCTTTCTCATCTTTACCGGAAACAATTGACACGCCACGTTCTGTTGCAGTTCTTCTATGACTTCCGCGCGGAAAGGGAGACTTGAGAAATTCGAGAATGTGTGCCAAAACTGTCTCTTCGCGAGCAGCTATCGAACGATCCCTCCGCCGTTCGTTCGTTCGTTCGTTCGTATCGACCGTAACATTAGCCAAGCATAATGGAGTGCCTGATCGAGTGATTTATACTAATCCTGCGAGAATGAAAAAAACCCGCGACGCTTAAAAATGGGAAAAGATTTTACTATATCTAAGAGAGAGAACAAGATAGAAACTTATTCGATGTAACGCGTTTCTTCCTCTTCTTCCACGTCCCGTCTTAGATTTTGATACCAGCGACAGCGTTGTATTTTTATAGACTTGCGTTCTATTTTTTGATAGATAGTAGAGATTATACTTATAATATATGTACACACGATTTTGTGTGTGTGTGTGTATCATACGTTCGAGATCTTTTTACGGAACGTCCGGACTCTCCTGACATCACATATCTACGCTTCTGCCGCACGAGCAAACTCGTCGAGCGGCGTTCTCGCCGCGCATCATTGTTGGAATTTATCTTTATCCAAACGGATGACGAGAACGCGTGCCAATTATGAGTCATTTAGCTTAAGTTTCTTTCTTTTCGCGTTCTTTCACCATACACTAAGTATATACTGTTTCCTTTTTACACAAAGACTTGACACGAATATTTATACAATTCACTATCAAGTTACTTTCTTTTTCACGCGAAATTAATCATGTTCAATTGTCACAAAATTTTCGTTCACACCTGTATCTGTAACCTTCTGAGATTAAGTCTGTTTTCGAGCGTTTCTCTCTTTTTTTTTCTCTTCTCCGAAGACAGAGAAAAGTACGATTATTTCGACGTCGGCGGAACGCGAGATCAGACTTTTCTTTTTTCCTCTAGAGATTCTTTTTATCGTGTTATATATTGTATCTTGCGTAATAACCATCACATTGCGTAAGTTTGTTCGATTGATCGCACACAATTTATCATAGAGACCTGTATGTAAAATGATAGTTTAATAAAAGATTATGTGAATAAGAAGTCGCTAATTATATTCTAGTGTGTTCATTCAATGAATCATGTCGACGATTGTTTTGCTTCTAATAATAATTTCCCTCTCGTGCGTACATACAATGTCTTACAAATGAATATTCCATATCAAACTTCCAGACGAGTTATATTTCTCGTTTACAAATACCGTACAAGGATTTATAAATAATTTCACAGCAAGAACAACTAAATCAACGTTGCATATTGTGAATGTCTTCTCTTGATGAGTGATATAAAATAAATTAACTGATCGCCGGAATCAGCGTGGCGATCATTCTCCCTTCTTATCTTCAAGATTTAGGGATTCGTGTTTTATCTTAGACATTATATTAAAAATAAACAATTCACGATATTACACGTTTGACAAGCGCAATTTGCTAAGACAGGACACTCGTAAAGGAGCTTTCACGAGGTCGCAGACTCTCTCGCTCGTGCTTTCATCGCGACGATTTCCTGTTCCTTCATGCAATACTGTGTAAAATTCCATTTGCACTTTAAAGACGAAAGTCACTCGCGTATAATAAGTGTACATAACGAGAAGAAGATGCTCGTTGAGTGATATTCGAAAGACACTCAATACTTCTTGAGCGTCTTTATCGGCGAGTTGCCAGCCGAGACAGCGGGTCGGAAGATCTTGCCCGGCAGGACCCTGGCCAGTCGTCAGACAAACGGTCCTGTCCAGTGTCTGACGTGTGTGGTGGTGTTGCTGGTCGTCGATTGTACTCCGTGCCTCTCCAGCACCGCCGTAGCCTTGATCCTGCTCTTATACTTCACGTCTTTCGGCTTCAGCATACTCTTGTGGTTACTCAGCAATCTGGACGGCGTAAGGATCGACTTGTTGCTGAGGCCAGTCGCTTCCAGAAAGTGGTCGTAACCGCTGCTTCCAGATTCACTGTTGTTGCTGCTGTTGTTGCTGTTGTTGGCAGGCACGTTGTTGTTGTCTTTGGCGCTGTTGCTTTCGCTTTGGCCGGGGTTGTTGAGCGCGGAATGACTCAACCTCTCGGAGCCGTCGCCTTCGGGCCGATCGGGATCGTCTGACAGGTCGCACTCGTCCAAGTTGAATTCCTCAAAGTTCTGGCGGATGTCAAAGTCCTGAAGCGAATAAAGTTCTTGTTGAAACTCAATGAAGAATGCTGCCTTCTTTTGAGATCGGGATTAGCACAAAAGGCAGGCAGGTTGGCCATGCATTTCTTTTACGTATTTATTGTAAAAAAAAAAACGAAAAAGAAATCGCAAAATATATCTTTCAAATATATCTTTAACTTAACGTCTCTGAGATTTTAGATTTGTTCTTATGGAAAAACTTACGTGTTCGAGTTCGGTGTGTCGTTCCCTCACGCGAGTCCTGTCTCTTGTCGCTTGCTCTTCGGGATCACCGATCTTGAACTCCTCGAAGTGTCTGACGATATTCGTCACTCGAACCGCGCTTTTCACCTGATCTGGCTCCTTTTGTCTGGTTTGGAAAGAGGATCGCACGTGATTAAACCTGCTCTTCCAGAATCCAGCCTCTTCGCGACCGCCCGCCTCCCTCGTGGAGCTCCTGGTTGAGCTCCTCGCCGAGCTCTTCGCCTCGTCCAGATTCAAGTTCCTCGCCGCTTTGGACGTTGACGATGACAGCAACTCCAGGATACCTCTTCTCGTGGAATCTGCGCCTCCGGAGTCCTGCTGAGACCTCTTCTCGTCAATCAAGAACGACGGACTCGGGATCTTCTTTAGGGTCAACGTGTTGTTGCGAAACTGCGGTTTCGGCGGCAACGCTGGCGGCGTTCTCGGTGGTGTCGGCGAGGTCGGTGTTGTCGTTACTTCCGGCAATGACTCGATGTCTTCGTAGTCCAGATTCGTCGAACGTGGTCTGGCGATCGTCAAACCCCTGGTGGACATCTGCAGACAGGCCTTTTCCTCGATTCTTTCCATCTTCAAGGGCGGATTGCTCGCTTGGGGCTTCGGCAAAAACTGTCTCGCTTCTTCGACGTCGACTTTGGGTTCGATGATGACTAAGGGAATCGCCTTCGAGTCCTTGGAGTCGTCGTCCGGCTCTTTCTGAACGATTCTCATGCCAAATTCGTCTTCGGACGCACTGCCTTCATTCTCCTGAACCTCGTCTTCCCGTGGCGAATCCTTGTTATCCACAGTACACTCCTCGGAGTTTCTCCTTTCCATTTCGGAACCCACAGACTCGATGTCGGACAATCTGGCCGGCTGGAAACGCACGATCCTACCACGGTGCTTGAATCTACGTGGCGCCGAAAGCACGTTCTCCTCCTCCTCCATATCACGCAATAGTATCTGGTTGACACACTCCAGAACGGAGTTGTGATTGCCGTTAGGCCTATAGACGTTGTGCCGGAACATGTCGTCGTTCAGTCTATCTTCGTCAGGATCGCTGTACCAGTTGATGCTAGTGTCCTCCACGGTCACTTCAGGTGGCTCGATTTTCGTTTCGCTGTTAGATGAAACCAGAATGAATCTCTCAGAAACAAGATAAATATTCAAATATAATGAAACTTTCTAACGCGTCGCTACTTTTGCGGCAAATTATTCTTACTTGATGAACAATTTCAAAGAATGATTAACTTAAGAATTTTACATGGTTGTTTGCAAAATGATAGAAGAATTTTATATTCAGTTTGACTTATCTAGTACACGAGATATATACTATATACTATAGGATACTTTGCGCCCGATATTCTGTCTATAACGGCATAATCAACGAAAATTTCGTCGCAGGGACGATTGTCCGCTCGCGAAAACTTACACGTTATTATTGTTGCTATAATCGTCCTCTGTCCTTGACAGCTCCGTCTTCTGCTGCAAGTGCCTCTCGTTAGCCTCGTTGCAGGCGTTCACGTAGATCGGCTCGCTCTTCTCCTCCCGATTCGTCCTCGCGTCCTGCTCCTCGTCCTCCGAGACGAAATTGCAGTCCATTCCGTCGTCCTTGCTCTCCGTCCTCGTGATACCGACCACTTCGATTACTTCCGAGCCCTTCGACGTCTTCTGCCCTTTTGCCCTGCGAAGAGATGTTTTCCTTTTCGTCGTCGTCGTCGTCGTCGTCGTCGTCGTGGTGGTGGTGGTCGTACCCTCGTCCACCTCCTCCTCGTCCTCGTCCACGATCATCGTGGTCTCGTTCTCGCTGTCGGTCACCGTCGTTGGCGTGCATCTGCTCGAGCACTTGTTCAACGTCGATCCCGGCGACACGTCCGTGCTCTCGCCCTCGCAGAAGCCCTCCGTGCTGAGCAACGACGGACTGCCCTCGGTTGTCGTGGTGATAATCGACGCGTCGGTGTTCTCACTGCTGGTCATACTGGTCTTGGAGATATCACTGCCGGCGAAGCTGTGAGTCTTTCTCACGCCGCTGCGGTCTAGCTCCTCGAGAACAATGCCGGACGCCGCCGGGTTCAACCGCGTGATTATCTCGCACTTGAGACTCGCGATGTCTTTGCCGAGGCCGCTCTCCTGCAGCGTTTCCTTCTGTAAGCAGAAATCGGCCCGAGTCTTACACATTGAGAATAAAACAGTGTCTGGTACTTGTGATTATAGTTACATAGTGTGAAAGAATTATAGCTAGGTAACTATTCTTTTATAATAAGTGCTGTAATATCATTGGTAATAACTATATACCATAACTATATGTAATAACTATATACACTGAAAGAAAAAAAGAGTTGGAATAACTATAATCTCACTATATTTTATAGTTCGTTTTGGCCTCAAACATATATTTATGGTTTATCTAAACATAAACATAAAGATATAGCATAATTAAAACAGATTTATAGTCACCATCTTACTCTATGTATATAATAAAGCACGCTTTGGGAATATAGTTACATGTACCTATATTTTCCAAATATTCCAGTTGTATTGACTATATAAAATAGTTAATTTCTCTTACTATTCAATATTTGCAACCTTACTATATTTTTTTTTTCAAATGATTATAATTCTTGGTAAAAGTTTTACATGGGTCAGTTATACTATACTTATATTGTAAATATTATAAACATTATGCTGAAATTTACTATAAAAATAATATTCCTAACTATAATCTTTTTACTATGCCATTATAGTTCCAAGTGTCATATATTTTTCCCTCAGTGTACCAATAACTATATAGCCATATTGCTACACTGAAAAAAAAAATGTTTAGTATTTATAACTATACAATCTCAGACAGAGAAATTATTATTAACAAATTATGGTCACTATTATGGAAAATTATTTCTTATTAAATTCCACTGTAATGTTAGTGATAATAATGTTATATGCATATTATATATACTACTACCGTTTTCGTGTTAGAACAATAAAAAAATATTGTCGCGGCCAAAAATAACTTTAGTTGAACCGACCATTTTTTTCTCAGTGTATACTACTATTTTTTCTTAGGGACAAAAAGATATGGTTGGTGCAGAAAATGACTGTAAGTGTTTAGTGTGATAAATAATTTTCGATTTTTCTTGGTGTAATCTCGTCCAATCTGCTTTTTAAATTTCTCGCGGTAAAATCTGGCTCGAACGAGTGAAAATTCGCTCGAAGCGATAACTACTTTTAATGCAAAGTTTTCTCTAGTTACCTGCAGATTGCCGAAATTCTGCAGACTCTTGTCGACGTTGGCATTGACTTCGGCGTCGGCCAGTGCCGGATCGCGTTTACACTTGATGTAGTTCTTCGTGTACCGCCTGAGCATCGCGATCTCCAGCTGCTGGTTCCGGATGACGTTGTCCTTCTCGCAGAGCAGCTGTCTGATCGACTTCTGTTCCTGCTTGAGACGCGCCTCCAGGACCAGCAGAGCCCGCAGTATCCTCGAGAGTTGTTGATCCCGCAGAGACTTCTCGGACTCGTGACCGGCGGCACGATGGTCTAACTCCCTCACCAGGTCCCTGCATCTCTTTGTGGCGAGCTTCAGGGCTTCCTGAGTGCGCGCCAGTTCCTGTTTGAGCGTTCGGACTTCGGTTTCCATCTAGGGAACACGCATTTTGACGGAAAGTTATTTTACGAGTCGGCGAGAAAAGTTTTCACATAGAACAATTATAAATATGAAATTAAACATTTTTATTATGTAGGATGCACTTGGACGCAACAGAACTAGTTTCTTAATGAAACAAATCTTTCGTTCGATTCAGAGTCGATTTTTTCTCTTCGCACATAAATATAAAAATATCACGAATAATTCATACAAATAATTGGAAATTATAAGTGTATTGATTTTATAAGCAGAGATTGTAATTAGAAATTAATTTAACAATTAGAGATTGAAAATCCTTTGATTGGCGTAATAATAGAAGAGATTCAACACAAAATAAGCAAAGTGTGGCGAGCGATATAATATCGGCATAAATGTGAGTCTCTCGCGTCCTTTTCCAAATTCCTACGCCGCTCTCGAGGATAAATGGCTCGAGTTGCACAATGCGGATCGCGCGGTGAGATATTCATCATGCATGCGAGCGCATGCAGGCTGAAGGATGAATGCCGACGTTTTGCGCGGCAAAATCGTGGAACAATGCCGGCTCCGGCCTTGCCTCGCTTTGAGATACGAGACGCGAGGAGGAGAACCTCGGGCTGACTCGAGAAAGAGAGACGTCCGGATATATTCGTCCAGGTGCAGGGAGGGACGACCGGCCCCCAGGACCGGAAGGACCTGACCCGGTCCGCGGGGCTGTGGACCGGTGGAGTCGCGACGGAAGAAACGGCGGCGAGCCATTGTTAGGTAAACACTTTTCAACTTAACGCGTTGACTGCCCAAGGGTGAGCGGTGCATTTGCATTTTGGGTCATACCTGACGTACAGCGAGTCCCATTATTGCGGCGATGCCAGTTAATGAGATTCTTTAGCGAACACGTCAGTGATGTCTCTCTCTCTCTCTCTCTCTCTCTCTCTCTCTTATTCTCTTGGAAATTCAAATATCAACTTCAATAATATTCGCATAAATTTAAATAAAAATTCAAATACAAATCGAGGAATTTGAACACACAAATTTGAACCCGATGAGAGTATACCGAGTTTCACGAAAATCTTAACGCAGAACAAACAATGAACGTGTAACTAGTTTTCTGTTATCTAGGAACTGATTGGAAGAAGATTTCTGTAAGAAGTTTTTATTCAGGCTATTGTTCTCAGTTATCTCGATCGAGTTTTAAAATAACCCGAATGTTTGGACGAATGTTTCCGACCGTGATAATAGAGATATCGTTTCTGACTGATGAGTTTTCGTTTGGTTCTTAGTGCCTTAAGCTAATGAACTTTTTAGCGTATTGGGTGTGATTATTATTATTCATTTACACCGATCTTTTTCCGTCAAAGCCAAGTCTTTCCAATCATTTGCATCGTGCCTAGATATGCGTATTATGACTTGATTGTTTGGCTTATCTGTCATACTAATATAGCTTGACATATTATATCGTATCATCATATCGTACCAGATATCATATATCAAATCATATCACGAGAAACGTGGAACAAAGTCTATCAAAATCAACGCAAGTTGATCGTTGCTAGTAAATTATATATTGCTTCATCGAGGAAGCTTTTGAATGTCACTCTTAGTATACTAAACATTACTAGTCTCAAACACACTTTGTGATATTAATATCTACGATTAATATCTGTGATATTATTTGTGATATTATTATTGTGTAATATCTTATTACACATCTCATTAATATCTCGAATTAATTATCTATCACACTAATTATTATTATTAATATCTTACCGCATCAAATTGTATCACATATCCAAACACGATAAACGAAAAATGGTAAGCGCTCTGTTATCGGTGCAGTAAGTTTCCACGAAGCCTTAGCATTAGGCTAGACAAACTCACTAATCGTTGTCATCGTGTTTGTATATGTGATACAATAATGTGATACAATAATGTGATATGTGATGCGATAAGATATTAACAATAATAATAACTAGTGTGGTAAACAATTAATTCGAGATATTAATAAGATATGTGATAAGATATCACACAATAATAATATCACAAATTAGATATTAATATCACAAAGTGTGTTTGAGACACATTAATTTAATATATAATAGACTTTAGTCTATTATATATTAATATCTACGATTAACGTCTAATTTGTGATATTATTATTTTGTGATCTTATCACATATCTTATTAATATCTTGAATTAATTATCTACCACATTAATTATTATTATTAATATTTTACCGCATCAAGTCGTATAACATATCTAAACACGATTGGTGAGTTTTCGTCTGGCCTAATGCTAAAACTTTATGGAAATTTATTGCATCGATAATGGAACAATTATCCATTTTGACTCGCGAGAGAAAATCCGGCACTTTACGGCGCCAGATTTCCGTTTCCGCATACGTGCACACGCATGGTAAACTTGCTTTCCAGAAAAGGAAACCGCGGAACGGCGCGCTTTCCGCTAGTGGATTTAAACGGCGCTTGTTCGAGCCGACGATCTAACGGCGATGCGGCTAAAGTGCGAGCCGCAATTACGCGTGGTTTATTCGCGTCGCGGCGTATGCGCTCCACGTTGTTGTTGTTGTAAACGACTTTCTCACTTTACGGGGTTACGGATACGATATATATGTGCATATCGAGTGGGACGTAACGAGAGAGGCGTCCCCCCCGGCGGCGGGTGATTTGCGCGATGAATACGCGCGGCAGCGGCGGTCTCTTAAATCGATAAGCCGGCTACTAAGGCCGGCTAATTAAATCGCGCGGAGATTCTAATCGCGCATCACGAGCTACGAGAACGTCGTTCCCGTTTAACGAGCGGGCCCGCGATTTTTCGACGGCCGAATCGTCGTGTGAGGTCGCCTCTCCTCTCGTCAATTCGACTTGGAAAAATTACGATAACTCTTCGAGTTTCGTCGTTCGCGCTAATCCCAAAATACTTAAATGAAGAGAGTATACAGCTTGTAAGAGCTTAATCGCGACTCTTTTTCGGTGCGACTGCGAAATAGAAGCTTTTTGTTATATGGCGTTTGTGGATGCTTGGTTAACGTGATGCGTGAGTTTGGAAGGACTTTAATTTATTGAGAGTTAAGTAAGGAAGGGGATAGGGGAGATTATGTAGGAACGATTATGCATAGATACGTGAAGGCGAAACAAGGCGTTCAAGGTAGGAAAGCAGGATTCAGAGCGGAAAAAGTGGTAGAAATATAGATAATAGAGGTTGTGGCGTTGTAAGGAACGGGTAGTTAGGGTAGTGTAGGTAATGCAGGCAAGCTTAAGTTAGTATGGTAATGTAGAGGAAATTATCGATAGAGGAAATGTGTAATAAGTGGTGATAGAAGACAGAAGTACACAAGGAATGGAGGAAGAAGAGGATACAAGAAATGAAGAGGAAAGGTTTGGTCATCGAGTAAGGAAATAAAATGAAGATATATGAAAGAAGGATGACACAACGATTGACGCGATAGGTGCTGTACAAGTAAGAAGTGCAAAGAATAAAAGGAAGGTTATAGGATATGGAAAACTTCTTCTTGGCGATGTAGACTAAAAGAGGCTTATAGAGAATGAAGAAATGAGAGAGGAATTACTTGATGCAGTTAATAGAAAATGGAATATAGTGAAACTAACAGGATATAGAAGAAAATTGGAGGAATATTGAATGAAGAAGAAGTGAGGAGAGTAGTGAAGAAATTGAATATAAAGAGGAAAGGTAAAGGGATTAATTGGTTCCAAAAAATTCGGTTGTAAAGAATTCCTGTAGAAGATACTCAGTTTCTATTTAATTTCTACTCAATTGCTCAGCTATCCCAGCAATTAGTTATCTCAATCGATTTTTAATGCAGCTGAATGTTTCTTTGTTGAAAAGTGATAGTATTGTCACTCGAAATGATAATGTAAATACTGTCATTTAAAAGAGCGAACGTCTCGCTCAAGTTTAGAGTAGATTTTGACTCAATAGAATTTGAAACAAAATGTTTAGTACCATTTGCATTAATTTCAAAGTCAAACTAGCTGTTCAGACGAATATTTTCGGTTACAGTAATAGAGATATTATTTCTCGTCAGAGAGTTTTTCGTTTGGCTTCTATTCAGTTACAAACTGAATTGCGAACTGAATTTGTTTTCCGTGTATACATTCGTGTATACAAGTACTGTTCTCACTGCTGCTCAGAGCTTTAGTTTGCGATTAACTTTCGACGCAATATAGAGGCTTTTTCGCGACATTGCGTCCCAGAGAAATGTGTGTCGGTGTAACACGGCAACTTTTCCCGTCTCGCATTCTTTGCCGACGCACGAGGCGAAACAATCGCGCGAGCCCGAAATACCTCTGCTCGCCGGAGGAGAACGCTAACGGGAGGAACTGCGAGGATCCTTCCGTTTGAAATTCTTAAGGAACTCTCTCGCGGGCCGACCGATCACAAGGTTACCGAGTCATCAGGACGAGAGTTTCTCAGGCCGCTGGCGCGGGCCATAAATTATACGCCCCTGGTTCCCAAAGAGAAGAACGGTGCTGCGCGAATCCCGTGATTTTTCAAGCGTGCGAGGAATAAAGTTAGAGAACGGCATGCGGTAGCTGCAAACTACGTAAATAATTGTGTCAGACTGTGCGAGACTGGCAAAACGCTCTTAGATATTCAATCGAACAAACCGTTGAGCCAATGAGAGTTTGAGTCGCAGATAGATACCTGCTGTGTATCCAATTAATCAAGATGCTAGATCAGAGATAAAGCGCGTCTTACAGGTGAAGCAAACGCTTCGATTCTCATTTGGATCCTCTTCGATGAATCGGCGAGTTAAATTTTTTTTCAATTTCAAAATTTTATAAAATTGTCAAACAGTTTTGTACTTAGTATAGACTACATTTTAGAGAATTCGGTCCCGTTCTTTATATTTCTTAGAGTCATATCCACTCAAAACGAAAGGTGACAGTATTGTCACTCGAAGTGATAGTGTAAATACTGTCATCTAAAAGAGTAAACGTCTCGTTCAAATTTAGACTAGATTTTGACTCAATAGAATTTGAAACAAAAAGTTTAGTATTATTTGCATTAATTTCAAAGTCAAATTATTACTAAAACATAAAAAAATTTATATAACGTAAATATATTTGTGTACTTACTTATTTTTTTAAATTTATTTAAAAAATTTTAAGTTTTTCTTTCAACTACTTTGTGTGGAAAAAGTGAATAATACTGGTAATAACAATAGCAAGAACTATAGTTATATTTTATAAGATTGTTGCCGCGCAACTATAGTGGCTTCCTAAATTTTGTGCGTGTGTATAAGAATTAATTGATAATAAAATTTTATGTAATAAAAATTGAAAACTAAAAATTCTTTCAGTTCTTCTTTCAGCGGTTGAATAACGGAGAGACGATTACGGAATAAGTTCTTGCTGGCCTAACGTTCGTTCGATCGAATAATTATTCGTTAGGTCGAGATCGCCTCGAGGGGAAGTCTTGGATGATTCCCACCCGTTGACCGCGAACTTCACTCCGATGTTTCCCATCGCTTTGATTCTTTCCCATCGCACACGAGAGCACCGCTGTTCCCAACCATTACTCGATCCGAGATTTACGATCTCCTGCGGCCGCTTGGCGATTGCGTCGGCCACGATAGTGACCGTGAAAAGTCGCTGGCGCAACGGCACCTTGAAAAGCGAGCCAGGGGCGAGGCGAGACTGCAGGAGACGTGCGTATGACCACGGCAGATCACCGACAGGAAGACTGTCGAGGCGACACAACGCGCGAGGGCTCATTTCAGCCCACTTCATCTTTCAATGTCGCGTCAGTCTGGCGACTGTGAAGAGGAGCAAGCCCGACAACCTCCTCCTCCTCGTCGTCGTCGTCGTCCCCTGCTGTCTCCCTCGACGCCACCTCGACGCCCACTCAGGGGGTCTCTCAGGGGGTCTCTCGAGTTCACGTGCTCGCTCGTACACGCTCGGAAAAAAGTATGCTGCGACTTTCTCCGCTCGCTCCGAGCAACGGTTTTTCGGGTCCATCCAGGTGCCACGATTGGAGGTCAAGCGGAGTCGGACTGCGCGCGCCAACGGCGAGACACATATATCGGGGGTCGGTACAGTTATTCGCCTTTGTGCTCGCTGCCATCACGAAATCTTGCCTCGATCTCTCTTGTCGATCGATCTGCGTAACCGCCGCCGCCGCCGCCTCGTCGTTGGGCCTGCGTCATCGCGCGATTTACAATTCGCGGGTCGAATGATAAGCGCAGATAAAGCGTACACCTGGTGGGTGGGTGCTTGCGTGCGTGTGTGTGTGTGTATGTGTGTGTGCGCGTGTGGCAATGTTGCGTACATGTGGATGTGTGCGGTCGCTCATACGATCGACGCCAACCTGCTATCTGGCATCTTTAACACCTGGACGAGCGGTTCACCGGTGACGTCACGGCCGAGCGTCGCCGCAGCGTTTCGCGCTGCCCGATGAATGGACGAGAGAGAAAAAGAGAGAGAGAGAGAGAGAGAGAGAGAGAGAGAGAGAGAGAGAGGACGCACTTTCTCTCCGACGTTGCATACCGCGAGCTGCATTTCTGCAGTTGCACGCGCTCTGCGAGCGCGAGCGCGACAGCTGCGCGCCGCGCGATGCACATATTCGCATTGTTTCGCGAGCCGCCGCGGCATATGCATTCCACCCGCTCCCTCTTCTCTCTTTCTTTCTCAAGCGATCGCGCACAGGAGCCCGAGCACACAGGAGGCCAAGCGCAGGTCGTCGCATGTCACCACGACGAAGACGTCGCGTTTCGTCTCGGAACGACGAGAGTGCTCGGCGACGATCCGTCGGTCGACCTGAAAGATCGATCTTGCTCCGCGAGATCCGCCCTGAAATCGGTCCTCTATCCGGAGGAGAGATTTGCCTCGGCGCTAACGGCAAACGCCAGTTCGGGCGAGCACCATTTCGCTCCGAAGCGATAAGTTAATAACTCTCCGCTGATAACGCGCTCATCATCGACCTGTTTTTACCTTGCCAAAGCCGCTCTCTCCTTCTGCCCCCGCTCCTCCTCGGCCGTT